TAAAACATTTTAAATCTCATAGAAAATAATGTGAGAGTGATTATTGGTCATATAAACATCATTTGAGACCGAAATTCGGTGTTTTTATGTGTTCATTACAAGTGGCACTAAAGACCCAATATTTGATACTAAAGCATCGAAAGATGGTACTACCTTACTCTAGGTCTGGTACCAATTATTGCAAATGTTGAACACGATTGAATAATCTATTTTCATTGACCAAAAGTTAGTACTAATCAATCAAAAACAGGTAGCACGCAGAAGAAGATGCGGTACTATATTGGCTAATACAGGTACTATTTGGAGAATCGCGATTTCTCTAATCTTCATGTCTACCATGACACGTGGATTGTTCACGCGGGATTCGGATGAAAAATAGTGGAAGTTAAAACATATAGGTAGAATTTGGAGTACTCATGTATGATGATTCTATGAGATGAAGTGTGTCATTCAATGAAATGAAGTGTATTAGTAGTGATTTCTTATTAGTGTGTCGAGTTCATGACCATTTTACAACTAAACTCAATTTAAAACATTTTAAATCTCATAGAAAATAATGAAAGAGTGATTATTGGTCATATAAACATCATTTGAGACTGAAATTAAGTGTTTTTATTTGTTCATTACAAGTGGTACTAAAGACCAGATATCTAGTACTAAAACACCGAAAGATGGTACTACATTACTCTAGGTCTGGTACCAATTATTGCAAATGTTGACCACAATTGAGTAATCTATTTTTGTTGAAAAAAGTTGGTACTAATCGATCAAAAACAGGTACCACGTTGAAGAATATGCGGTACTATATTGGCTAATACAGGTACTATTTTGACAATCGTGATTTCTCTAATCTTTCATGTCTACCATGACACGTGGATCGTTCACGCGTGATTCGGATGAAAAATAGTGGAAGTTAAAACATATAGATAGAATTTGGAGTAGTCATGTATGATGATTCTATGAGATGAAATGTGTCATTCACTGAAATGAAGTGTATTAGTAGTGATTTCTCATTAGTGTGTGAGTTCATGACCATTTTACGATTAAACTCAATTAAAAACATTTTAAATCTCATGTAAACTAATGTGAGAGTGATTATGGGTCATATAAACATCATTTGAGACCGATATTTGGTAATTTTATGTGTTCATTACAAGTGGTACTAAAGACCCAATATCAGGTACTACAATAATATAAAGTTGGTACTATCTTACTCTATGTCTGGTACTACTTTTTGTAAATGTTGACCAAAATTGAAATAATCTATTTTCATTCACAAAAGTAGGTACTAATCGATCAAAAACAGGTATCATGTAGAAGAAAATGCGATATTATTTTGGCTAAAACATGTACTATTTTAAGAATCACGATTTCTCTAATCCTTCATGTCTACCATGACACGTGGATCAATAACACGTGATTTGGATGAAAAATAGTGGAAGTTAAAACATATAGGTAGAATTTGGAGTAGTCATGTATGATGATTCTATAAGATGAAGTGTGTCATTCAATGAAATGAAGTGTATTAGTAGTGTTTTCTTATTAGTGTGTCGAGTTTATGACCATTTTACGATTAAACTCAATTAAAAAATATTTTAAATCTCATATAAACTAATGTGAGAGTGATTATGGGTCATATAAACATCATTCGAGACTGAATTCGGTATTTTTTATGTGTTAATTATAAGTGGTACTAAAGACACAATATCAGGTACTACTACAATATAAAATCGATACTATCTTACTCTATGTCTGGTACTACTTTTTGTAAATATTGACCAAAATTAAAATAATCCATTTTCCTTTACAAAAGTAGGTACTGATCGATTAAAAACAGGTACCACGTAGAAGAAGATGTTGTACTATTTTAGCTAAAACAGGTACTGTTTTAGGAATCATGACTTTTTTTAATCTTTCATTTCTACCTTTTCACGTGGATCGTTAACGCATGAATTGGATGAAAAATTGTGGAAGTTAAAACATATAAGTAGAATTTGAAATAGTCATGTATGATAATTCTATGAGATGAAGTGTATTAGTAGTGTTTTCTCATTAGTGTGTCGAGTTCATGACCAATTTGCGATTAAACTCGATTCAAAACATTTTAAATCTCATAGAAACTAATGTGCGAGTCATTTTGAGTTATATAAAAATCATTTAAGATCGATATTCGATTTTTTTTAATGTTCGTTGCAGTTGGTATTGAGGACTCGATATCTGGTACTGAAACACCATTTAATGAGTACTATCTAACTTTAGGGCTGGTACTAATTTCACAAATGTTGAGCAAAGAATAATCCATTTTCGTTGACCAAAGTAGGTGCTAATTGATTAAAAATAGGTATTGCGTAGAAGAACTATTGATAGGCAAACTAAAAGCAAAAAGAATAAATAAATAATAGAGTCCTTCGTGATTTATCCTCAATTACGAAATATCGAATAATTACATTATTCTAAAACATGAAACCGATCAACACTAGAAGAAGCTTCCATAACTCAATAAGATGACATTAACTGTGCACACTTGTATAAAATAGTCAAAAAAAACCTCCATGAAATGCATCTACAACAAAAATGAGCACAACACATCCAACCTACATCCAACAAAGTTTTACTAATGGTCAGCAAAGTTAAACAAGCATTATTTTACAAGCATTTCATCAAACACTTGGTGAACATAGATAAGAAAAACAAACAAATACTCAGAAACATGATAAGAACCCGAAAATACGACAAGAACCCTACGGATAACGAAAATATGGTAAGAACCCGAAAAATGAATATAATAATTAATCAGAAACAAAGTGTGAATTTTAAAAACACAAACCCACCATAACTTAAGGTATCTACACATACATATACATTATTTTACCCTTTTTTTGAATAAATTATCAAGAGACAAAACACATTTCATAATCACTCCATCAAAATAACCGGAGACGGTAAGTCTTTCACGATTGGGTATTCATCGGGTAGGGTCAACAACGGGCCTTCGCCCGACAATCCTCTAATTGCCAAAGCTAAGGAATATCTCAATGCACGAGCAATATGCACAGGAACTGCATTTCCTACTTGAATGTACCTTTATATGTGATAGTCAACTACCATTGGAAACTTAGCACTTGATTGCAAGGTGGAGGTAACAATCTAATCAAGACGAAGCTGTAAAAATATGTAAAAACAATTACATAGCCTATTCTCACAAATTGCAATTATAAAAACTACATAGCTAAGAGAAAAAGAGTTGATTTCAGGGGCAGAGAAATTTTGTTAACAAGTGTAATTTTCATTTTTAGAATGGCTGTAATACTAGGTCAAAACATACCAACCTAGCAGCCATAAAAGATTAGCAGAAATTGTGGTTAGAACAATGCTAGATTCAATTTGATATCAAAAGTAGGAAATCAAAACCCCATTAGCGCACGCAAATAGACTCTCAATCAGCTTCACAACACAGACTGCTATTTAACGAAGTGCCAAACTGAACTGAACTCATCTAGCCCGACAAGTTCAACAACCACACGAACCCACTAAATTTCAGTACCTGATAGGAGGTGATTCTAGCGAGCGAGATACTGAGCAAGGAGACGACGGGAGTTTTAAGGGGTGCGGAATTTAAGAGGGAGCGAATGTGGTCGACAAAAAGTCTAGGAGCACCATATGCTTGCCGTCCTGAACAACCTAGCGAGCATCCTTGTGATGTCCAACGATCTATCCGTCATTTAATAGGTTTGTTGAAAATGGGAACGCAAAAAAAAAATGTAGCTTTTCTTTTCCTGTAAAGAGGGGAAGGGGAAAAAACATAAACCAAAGAGAAGATGAATGGCTCGCCTACACCACCTGGAGAACTTCAATTCGATCTTGACCATCTGATGCCAGTGAAGATGAAGGGCTCGCGTACGGGTGGCTGCCGATGGAGAAGAATCGGGGATAAAATTGCCACATAAATGCGGATCTGAAATGGTGGAACTTGAGAGAGATTTTAGGGTTCTTTCGAGCCCGCCATTGTATCTCGATGGCCGGAGATGGTGGGGCAAACTTCCCGGAGATATGGCCGACGACGGAGGGGGAATCGTGTTCGTGTTCAGAGATGAAATCGTGTCTCGGTGATGGATTTCTACTTTGAATCGGCAATGGAATTCAAAGAGACAGAGAGACGAAAGGTGATGAATTGAGAGAGATGAACTGAGAGCGATGAATTGAGAGAGAGATCTGAATTTTTTTTCCAATTTTTTATGATTTTCAGATAAAATAAATCAATAATAATAATATTAGTATTTATATGGGGAGTTGAGAGGAAAGAGAAATATGTATTAGGGAGTGCAGAGGAAATTTAAAAGTGGTAGGGACTGAGAAGGAAGTTGAAATGTGCATTAGGGATTTATTAGGAAATATCCGAAGATTAAAAATGGAAAAATATAAATAACTAAAATGATATTTATTTAATTAATTATCAATTAAACTAAAATGATAAATAACAAAAATAAGAGGGAGTATATAATAACAAGGTCAAGATTAAAAGGAAAAGAATGGAAAAGCATAAATAAAATAAAATAAAATCTATCAATCCAAAGAGTGCTGGCCGGTTGGTTTGTGGGGACGTGTGAAAGAAAATAGGTAGAAAGCTATTCTTCCGCAACCTATTATTTAATTAATTTATTTATTATAGAACAAACATTAAAACCACCATAATAATATCAAAACTAATAATTTTGTTTAAGAAAAAATAACGCTCGCCTCCCAACCTCTTCTTCTTTTCAACACACACAACACGCAGTAGAGAGAGAAAAAATGGAAAACAAACGAAAAAAAGGAATGGAAAATTAGATTATCACGATTCACAATCTCATCCCATCTCTCTCTGGTGTTGTGTTGTGTGCACCTCCCTGTATATATGTAGTTTTTCGCTAGTTCATTTCTCATCACAAATCATTTTTCCTTTTTTGTTTTAACATATATATATTAAAAAATTTATGGCCATGCGGCGAGGCAGGGCACCGGGGCGGCTTGGAGCGGCAGCGGCCCATGCCGGAGAAACCAACGGATCTAACGAGATGAAATTCAGAGGCGTCAGAAAGAGGCCGTGGGGCAGATACGCCGCCGAGATCAGAGACCCCTGGAAGAAGACACGCGTCTGGCTCGGCACCTTCGACTCTGCTGAGGCCGCCGCCCGGGCCTACGACGCCGCCGCCCGCTCCCTCCGCGGCCCCAAGGCGAAGACGAACTTCCCCCTCACCCTAAATGGCGGCGCTTTCCCAGATTCCAACCCTAGAAACCCTAATCAACCGCTAATCAACAATAATTCCGGCGATCCGTTCGTCAATTCGCAATATCAAACCCTGGAGCGTCATCAGATCATCGCGCCGCAGGGGCCCGCTTCCAGCGGGATGAGCAGCACCGTTGAGTCCTATAGCGGGCCGCGTCAGCCGCCCCGGCCGCGGCTGGTCACGCAGCTGCAGCGGCGGCACCCTCGGTCGCCGCCGGTGGACCCTAATGACTGCCACAGCGACTGTGATTCCTCCTCGTCCGTGGTCGATGATACTGATTTTGATTTCGCTTCATCCTCTTGTAAAAAGCCCCGACCTTTTGACCTCAACATGCCGCCGCCGGCGGTGGACGCCGCTGCTGACGTGGACGATCTCGCTTGCACAGTCCTCCGGCTCTGAGGTGTTTGCCTCCACTGGCTTATAGATGATGGGCCTTAAGCGTCTGGCGGAAATCTACCAATTTGGTTAAA